ATCCCATCCCATCCCATCCCATCCCATCCCATCCCATGGATCCCATCCCATCCCATCCCATCCCATCCCATCCCATGGATCCCATCCCATCCCACAGATTCCATCCCCACATTCCAGGGGAAGCAGGAGAGGTGCTGGGAGCACCAGAAACGCTCCCTCTTACAGCAAGGCTGACACCTGGGGATGGGACAGAGCAGCTTAACCCGCTGCGGGTAAAAATATCGGTATAAATATAAATGTAAATAAATATAAATCTATCAAAATAAATACAAATATAAAAATAAAAAGACAAATAAATAGAAATAATATAAATGTCTGTGTGCAGGGACACCTGCAGTGGGTGCCAGGCCCTGCACAGCCCAGCCCTGAAAAATCAGAGCAAAACTCAACTAATCCCCGTCTCTCACTCTCCCTAAACCCCAAATGTTCCCAGCCCTAAATCCTGTCCTTAAGTACCCCCTTAGCACCCGGCTGCTAAGGGATTTACCTCAGCACGCAGGAGCTTCACTCATTTTGTACCTAATTATCACAAATTATTGTTGTTACTACTACTACTATAATAGCAATAGCAATAATAATAGTAGTAATAGTAGTAATAGTAGTAGTAATAATAATAATAATAATAATAATAATAATAATAATAATAATAATAATAATAATAATAATAGTTCTTCAGAGCCTGAAACATTTGCTGGGATTTAATTTCAGGATTCTCTTTGAGGCAGGAGATTCCCAACAGCCACCAGCGCTTGAAAGGACTCACACCAGATTTTCCTAGCGCCGACACCTTTATATTTGCTTAGCACGCCAAGAGGCCTTATATAGCGTTAGTTTATTCCAAAAATTTGATATTTACAGGGCAAAAATTAAAAATGTGATATTATAATCGCGGCGGTGTGGAGGGCGCTCTTACGACAGTGTGGCTGTTCGCTTTGCGGCGGTGTGGCAGTCCCATTGTACGACAGTGTGGCTGTTCGCTTTGCGGCGGTGTGGCAGTCCCATTGTACGACAGTGTGGCTGTTCGCTTTGCGGCGGTGTTGTAGTCCCGTTTTACGACGTGCGGCGCGTCGCTTGGCGGCGGCCATGGCGGCCCGGTTCAGCGGGGTGCTGCAGCTGACGGAGCTCGACGATTTCATCGCTCCCTCGCAGGTGGGGCCACACCGGGGGTGACAGGGCCGGGGACTCCCGCGGCCAGGGGCTCACGAGGCAGCCAGGGGCTCAAGAGGCCGCCGGGAGCCGCGGGGTGGGCGCTAAGGGGAGCCGGGTGGTGCCACCCTCAGCCGCTGCCTCACGGCACGGGGAACGCGCCCACCCCCCTCAGACCTTCTCCCGCTGCTGCTGGGGATGGAAAAAGGGCTAAAAGTGAGGATTGGGCGCTGTCCCTCCTTGCGCAGGGCTCAAGGTCACTGTGGGGTCGCTGTGGGGTCACTGTGGGGTCACGGCAGGCTCAGCCCCGTCCCAGGAAAGCGATTTTAATTTAGAGTTCCCCAGGAAAAGTTGGAGGTTTCCGTGGATGGGAGGGAAGCCCACGGCGTTCGGGAGGGAATGAGCGGCGAGGATCTGCTCCTGTCAATGCATTTATTATTATTTATTATTTTGCACTGCGGAAATGCAAAATAATAATCCTGGATGCTGAGAAACACGGCAGGAAAACCGAGCCGAGATGAGATCGGTGGAAAAGGAAATAGCAAATCCCGTTAATTCTCCGTGTAGGGCTTGGGTTTGCTTTGGTTTTATTTATTCTTCACGTAAATAAGGAGCTCTGCTTCTGTGTTTTGAGTGAAGGATCCAAATGAGTCGTTCCTGCAAGGCTCTGAGTCCTGCAAAGATGGATTAATTTAGGGGGGAAACTCAAAGGAGAAGTAGGACAAGGAGTCACGGGGTTCTTGAATAATAAAAAGTGGATAAAATTCAGAAAAGCCCTTGGGACTTGTGCCGGGACACCGGAGCAAAGCTGAGCTCCTGAGAGCTCCTTCTGTCACAAAATCCAACCCTGGCTGGCACTGAGCACCTCCTCGGGCCGGGATCTGCAGGGAAGAGTCGGGATTTGCTCCCGGATTTTGGGGAGGAGGAGGAAGAGGCTGGCCAGCCTCTGTTCCTGTCAAAGCTCCAAAACCAGAGCTTCAGAAAGAGCAGGATTCTCCCGTGGGCTTGGGATGATGCTGGAAAAGTGTTCTTCCTGTTCCAAAGGGGTGAGGAACCTCTGCTTTGACATTTTTCTTACACTGCTGAAAGAAACTCGGGGCAATTCCAGCCTGGTTTGAGGGGGGAGGATGCAGAGCTGCTGTTTGATCCCTTTATTTGTGTTCAATCCCCTCTTCCTCGCTCAGCTCCTCAATTCCAGGCTCTGCTGCTCTTTCAGGAATGCATCAAGCCTGTAAAAGTGGACAAAAAGCCTGGAAAAGCAGCAGCCAAGATCAGAATCGAAGCTGATGGAAGCTATTTCCAGGTCAATCAGGTACGTGGGGTCTTCTGTTGAGTGTAAAAATCCCACAGAAATGAATGTATATTAAGTATTCTAATTATCTACATCCGTTTAATGCCTCAAAGAGATGTTGTCAGCATTCTTGGAATTTTTTTTCTTTCTGATTTATAATCAATAATTCCAATTTTGTGTCACTTTTATGCTCTGAAACACTGGCATTAATTACTTATTATTAATATAAGATTAGATAAGCTGAGATTGCATTAAAATTTAATTTATCAGGATTTTAACTTATAAATTCATTTCTAAGCAGTCATTTTATAATCAGTATTTCCAGTTTATTCCAGTTTTTTATGCTCCGAAACAATGCCATTAATTGGTGATGATTTCCATAAGAGAGCAGATAAAATGAAAAGTTTATTTATTTTATCAATATTTAAGGATTGGCAATTCCATGTTGGTTGTGACAATGTCCTTGTGTTCACTCAGAGATTTACTCAAGATCTTTTTAATAAATCTTGCTGGATTTTTTTAAAACAATATTTCAAATTATTTCTTTAAAAGCTTAAAGAATTCAGAATCTTCCAAAATTCAGGTTGAGTTTTTCCTGTTTTCACCAAAAAAAGTTGGCATTGCTCTGTTAACCAAGCTGGGAATTCCTCTAGGGATGGAACTTGGAACTTTAGGCAGATTTTAATTTAAAAAAAGGAGGATACAGCACTTCTAAAGGAGTCTGGTTCCTTATTTTAAAAATTTAATTATGCCTCGTTTCCTGATCTATTCCTGGCTTTATTGAGGAGTGATGATTAGAGGAGAATCTCTTGGGAAAATCAAATTATTCAGGACAGATAGAAGGGAAAATAATCCCTTCCAGTGTCTGGGATGAAATCCCTCAGCAAATTCCCCTTCCTGTGCCAAATTATCCATTAGAAGCAGCCAACTTCAGGTGACTTTGTCCTCATCTTATTAAAAATAAAGATTTCTTTTAAATGATAAACCAAGAGCATTGAAAGAGCAGCATCTTCATTATGATTTGGAACAAAGTGAGGAAATTGCTCCTTCAATTCTGGGATCAGAACTGAGCCTGCTCTGGGTGTTTTTTCGTAGGATGGGGAAGCACAAAAGCTGGAGAAGGCCAAAATCACCCTGAACGATTGCCTGGCCTGCAGTGGCTGCATCACCTCGGCTGAGAGCGTTCTGGTCAGCCAGCAGAGCCACGGGGAGCTCTGCAAGGTGCTGGCTCTCAACAAGGTGGGTTCCACTCATCCCTGGAGAAAAAAAGGGAAAATCCACAGGAAAAGGGAATTTCAGAGCCCTGACGGATCCCAGGCTGTTCTTGCTGCACTATTCTGGTTTATTCTCATTTTTTTAAAGAGTTTGGAAGGGTTTGGTGTCAATCCCTGCCTCAGAGTGAACGTGAGGAGCTCTGGGGTGCTGCCAGCTCTGCCTGTGCCACAGTTTGGGATTGTTTGGTTGTTTTTTCCAGGCTGCTGCTGCCCACGAGCAGAAACTGGTGGTGGTTTCTGTCTCTCCCCAGTCCAGAGCCTCCCTGGCTGCAAGGTGCAAGCTGGGGCTGCTGGAGACAGCTCAGAAGCTGACCACGTTCCTCAAGAGTTTAGGCAAGTGTGGGGCTGTGCTCTGCTCTCTGGCCTGGGGGTTCAGCACGAGCTGAAAGTGGATTCCAAACTGTCCAAAATTCACTCACAGGATGAATTTGGAGTGAGGGAAGGAAAGCTTGGAAAAAAGGAGGGTGAGGCACTTTTTCTGAGGGCAGATGGTAACAGGACAAGGGAAAGGATTTAAATCTCCAGATGGGAGATTGGGGTGGAATTCCTGGCAGGGAGGGTGGGGAGGCCCTGGCACAGATTCCCAGAGAAGCTGGGGCTGCTCCATCCCTGGAAGTACCCAAGGCTGGGTTGGATCACCCTGGGATAGTGGGAAATGTCCCTGCCCATGGAACTGGCTGAGCTTGAAGGTCCTTGCCAACCCAAACCATTCCATCAGTCTATGAAAACTGGGAAGAACCATTGAAAATAAATTGACATTTTACATTTCCACCTCTCCTGTCACTTCTCCTCTGACCTGAAAAACCTTCCCTGTCAACTGCAGGGCTCGGTACCTGCGACTGAGTTTGCCTCTGGTTAGAGTGGAAGGTTTTTTGTCACATTTTGCTGTGTCCTGAGGGTTTTAACCCAGCTGCTGTCCTGCCCAGGTGTGCACCACGTGTTTGACACAACTTTCTCCAGGAACTTCAGCCTCCTGGAGAGCCAGAGGGAGTTTGTGAGACGCTTCCACAGACAAGCAGACGACAAAAAGGCTCTGCCCATGCTGGCCTCTGCCTGCCCAGGTATGGCTTCAGTTCCAGCTGCAATCAAAAATCCTGCAGCTGCTCAGAAAGGTGCAAATGGATGTTTTTTTTACCTGTGGGATTATTCTCCTCACAGCACAGATCTTGGTGTTAAAGCAGTGGTGAGACATCTTCCAGTGAATCTGGTCTTACTTGGCTTTTGAGGCTGAAAAAATGGTTATTGATGGGCACTAAACCTGGGCTGTGGGGAGAATGAGCAGAGTGAAGGTCTGCTTCTTATTCTTTAATTTCAGTTGTTAATTATGTTCCTTCCAGGTTGGATCTGCTACGCAGAGAAAACCCACGGCAGCTTCATCATTCCCCACATCAGCACCACCAAATCCCCCCAGCAGGTCATGGGCTCCTTGGTCAAGGGCTACTTTGCAGAGCAGCAGGTAAAGCTCTAAAAATGCTCTTCTTACTGCAGAATTCCTCAAATTCAACATTTAGGCCGATTTTTAATTTTTTTTTTTGCTGTGTTAGACACATTCAAGGGTCAATATTGCCTTGCAGAAGGCAGCAAATCTTCCTCACTTCTGTCTTAGCTAATGAATAGTAATTAGGGTAGAACACTAATCACAGGCTAATTAAATTAAAGCCTCTGAATTATTTGGGAAAGCTGAGGAACATTATTTTCAGTGCCTTTGTGCTCCTGTTGTGCAGGGCTGGTGAATGATTTCAAGTTAAGTGACCCAAGCCAAGGCCGCAGTCGGTGCTTACGTGCAGAGCGTGGCTTCTCTAGAAATGATCCCTCATTCCCATCTTGATGTTCTGCTTCTGTCCTTAGCCTGTAACCTCTGGAATCTTTCCAGGTGGGAGCTGCAGTCCAAACAAACAGCCTGCATTGGGCCAGGAAGGGCTGCAGCACCCAGTGGATTTCTTGTGGGGTTTATGGAGGAGCAGCACTTTGACACTTGCACGGGGCAGCTGCAGATTCGGGACAAAATTTGGCAACTTGTGGGAATTATTTGGCACAAGAGACTGAAACAGTGGCCCCGGGTCAGTGACCTGTTTGCTCAGCCTGTGTTTATTGCTTGGATGATCCCGAGGTTTTTGTGGGACTCCAGATCATGTCCTGAGGGGCTGAGCTTTGGGAGCAGGGAGGAAGTTTATTCCCTGAAGGCTTAATTAGGGATTGGCTCCCCTGCCTGACCTTGGATCATTGCACCAGAGTGAGGGAAACTTCCAGGAGCTGAAGGGAACCTCAGGAAAGATGGAAAGAGATGATTCCCAAGGGCCTGGAGTGCCAGGACACAGGGAATGGCTGCCCACTGCCAGAGGGCAGGGTTAGATATTGGGAAGGAATTCCTGGATGGGAGGGTGTGGAATTGGGATGGAATTCCCAGAGAAGCTGCTCCTGGATCCCTGGAAGTGTCCAAGGCCAGGCTGGACAAGCTTGGAGCAGCCTGGGACAGTGGGAGGTGTTGGGGTTGGAACTGGATGAGCTTTAAGGTCCCTCCCAACCCAAACCATTCCAGGATTCCACAAAACCTGTGAAGGAGCATGACTGCAGACCCTGGCTGAAATTGTCTTCCAGGAGAGAAATCATTTCATTTATGCAGAAATATCTACACACACAAATTTTCACTAAGAGTAGGGATGATGGCATTATTTAACCCACTCTCCTTTGCTCCTGGCATGCCCTCCCTGAGGACAGGGGGATTTTGGCTGCCTCAGCCTTGTCTCTCTTGCAGCACCTGCCCCCTGACAGGATCTACCACGTCACAGTCATGCCCTGCTATGACAAAAAGCTGGAGGCCTCCAGGCCAGACTTTTTCAACCAGGAATACCAGACCAGGGATGTGGATTGTGTCATCACCACAGGTAAGCAGAGCCACAGGAGATTCCCAATTCCAGCTCATTCTGGGAGCCTTACAGTGTCCCCTGGCTTTGGATATTGATCTATATTTACCTTTAATACTGCAAATCATGACCTGGTAAAATGCAGCTGCAGTTTTAGGGACTGCTCTGGGGGAGTTTGTTTTTCTGTATCCCAAAAATAAGAACTCTTTGTGCCTGGTTCTGCTCTAGGAGAAGTGCTGAAGCTGCTGGAGCAAGAAGGAGTGTCCCTGTCAGATGTAGATCCCTCTCCCCTGGACACCATGTAAGAACAAAATCCCCTTTCAGTCATGTTCCCTTTCCTCCAGGATTTAGGGAGTTCAGAATTTCCCTTTCCCTCAGGATTTAGGGAGTTCAGAATTCCCCTTTTCCTGCTGTTTCACACAGATGTGTTTGCCCTTGGTTTGGTTTCTTGTGTCACTTGAACCAGGGAGTTAAAATATTTAATGTACAGAATATCACTCCAGCTCCTTTCATCCCACAAAAAGCTGCTGCAGGCTTTGGGAAGGACAAGAATCTGTCCCAGTGATAAAAATTTCCTGGAGCAGAAGCTGTTGCTCCTCGTTATCAGAGGCACTGCAAAGACCCCAGAATTAGAGCAGAACTAACAGATATTTAGGTCACTCAGATAATCTCCAGAAGACTTGTAGTGAAAAGTGACATTTGAGATGTGTCAGATGGGACTGGGGTTGTTGAACTGAGGAGGAATTTCTGCCCCAGGGCCAGCTGCACACACTGGGGTGGGGTGACATTTTGGGGTGTGAGGTGACAGCAGGGCTGGCTCTGCACTGAGCACCCAGAGCTGCCTTGGCTTCAGGGCAAGGGGAACATCCCCAGAGTTCCACCAAAGGCTCAGCAGCAGCACCTCCCTGGATGATACAGGGTGATCCATAGAGAATCACGGAGTCCTGGAAAGGTTTGGGTGGCAAAGACTGGAAATTCATCCAACCCCATCACCTTCCACCCTCCCAGGCTGCTCCAAGCCCCATCCAGCCTGGCCTGGGACACTTCAGGGATCCACAACCTCTCTGCACACCCCATTGTGCCCTGGTGCTATTCCCAGGAGAAAGGGAAAAGCCGGGGCTCAGAGGAGGCTGCTGCTCCCGTTGTCCTGAAGCCCCTGGAGCTTTGTTTGATGCCAAATTCCCTGAAGCTGCTGCTGTGCTCTCCCCAGGCTGGGCAGGGCTGCGGAGGAGCTCAGCAGCCACCGCGGCGGGGGCTCGGGGGGGTACCTGGAGCACGTTTTCAGGCACGCGGCCCAGGAGCTCTTCGGGATCCACGTGGGCTCAATCCACTACAAACCTCTCAAGTAAGAAGCTGAAATCCCACAGAAAACTCAGTTTTTCAGGAATTCTCCTCGCTGAGGAGCTGGAGTTTGTTTTTTTTGTGATGGTCGCTTGCTTGCAGCCTGAGAGTTGGCTGCTCCCTCCCCCAGCTGCTGAGCAATAAATCAGCCAATTCCATGCAGAATTCCAGGGAAAATTTCCCAAGGAGAACTCCAGCCCCTTCCTCACCCACACCCTGCAGTTTGGCCTCCACTGATAATTTCTATAATAATTATAAAATTTTAGAGTAATTGAGAAGGCAGAATTCTGGTGGAGCTGGGATTCCTCACCTTGGATCAGGCCAGCCAAGGGGATTTGTCACTGATTATTGATCCCAGAAAACCTTGTGGGAGGGCTTTGGGGCTCTGTTTAACTCTAGTGAAAGAGAAAATAAATCACCTGAGTTTGGGCATTGGGGCTCATCCACCTTAGATTCCTTCTGGCTTCCCAGTTATAATTTAGTGTATCCTTTGGAATTAATTATATCCCTAATGAGCAACTTTTATGTTTAGGATCCCCTGGTTTAGGAAGCAGAAAAAACAGTCTCAAAAATTTGATAAAAATCCAATTACTTACTTTTTCTTTTTACCAGAATTAGGTATTCCCACCAACCTTAGAAATCTGGAATCCTCAAGGCTTTGTTCCCATGTTTTATGATCTGGTAGAAATTAAAAAATCCCTTCAGGGATTTAATGTTGGCTGAAGGAACTTTGCTTGTCTGTCAGGGCAAGGCTCCCTGTGTTGAGCTTTTCGAGCTTTTTCCAGCCCAGGTGTCCTTCAGCAAACTCTGCTCAGGTGGCCCCAGCAATCCTGGAAGGCTCTGGAAGGAATTCCTTCCTGTTTTCCTTGCACAGAACTAGGACAGCTCTTCAGTGAGATTCACAAAGAATTTGGGTTTTGCACAGGGCCCTTTGAAGTTTAAAATAGAAACTTCGTTTGGAGAAGCCATTTCCTGTGCTCTGCTCCCTCAGGAACAAGGACTTCCAGGAGGTGACCCTGGAGAGGGATGGAGAGGTCCTGCTCCAGTTTGCTCTGGCCTATGGCTTCAGGAACATCCAGAACCTGGTGCAGAAGCTGAAGCGAGGGAAGTGCCCCTATCACTACGTGGAGGTCATGGCCTGTCCCTCAGGTGAGGCTGCTCTGCTGCAAATCCAGCCTGGGAGGGGCTCCAGGGAATTCCAGACAGGAAAAATGGGAGGTTTCTCATCCCCTTGAGGTGTGACAGCCTCAGAGCTGTGTGGGCATTCTCCTACCTCTGAGCCAGCAATTCCTCAGGATTTATGGAATTGCAGCTGGATTCTGTTATACAAAATTTGCATAATTAATTTAAGGAGTTTTTCCTGAGCTCTTTGGTACCTGAGTGAGGGGATTTTCCCCCTGAAACTGCCCAACCCTGACCATCACACTTACAGAAAATGCTGCTGTGTCTGGTGGAGAAAGTCACTTCCTTAATATTTTATTCCATTTTCCTTTTCCTTGGGAGCAAGGGCAGCCTGGACCCACTGAGGGGTCTCTCAGAGCTGCTCCTTCCCAAGGATCCACAGAGCTCTGGGAGCTTCCCAGTGTTCAGCCCAACTCCCAGGACACATCCCAGGTACTTTTCCCTTTCCTCCAGCTGAGCCTCCAAGGCTGGGCTCACCTGGACTGGGCTCTGGCTCTGTCCTGGGGGCTGGAGATAAGAGCTGGCAGATTCCCAGCTGGAGCCAGCCCAGCATCTCCCTGCCCTGTGCTGCTGGGAGATAACTGGGACTGAGCCTCCCTTCCTGAGGTGTTTTCATTCCTGCAGCTGTTTGCAGGAGCAGAATAAATGAACTGGAATTTCTTCAGGATGGTTTTCCCAGCTGAAATTCTCCATCCCTTCTTTCCCCCCAGGCTGTTTGAATGGAGGAGGGCAAATCAAACTGGAGGGGGAATCCAGCAAGGAGGAGCTGCAGCAGGTGGAGAGGTTGTATGAATCCCTGAGGGCTGAGATTCCAGAGGAAAACCAGGCTGTGGGGGAGCTCTACCAGCACTGGCTGGGGGGCTGGGGCTCAGAGAAGGTTCTGGAAGTGCTGCACACACAATACCACGCCGTGGAGAGAGCAAACTCTGCCCTCAACATCAAGTGGTGAGGGCTGCCCAGCCCAGCAGATCCTCAGTGCCTTCTGAACTCCCACTGCTGATTCTCCAAGGACTCTGTGCAATTCCTGCCTCTGGGAATGTGCCTGGCACTGCTCATTCCTTCAGCTGGAGGATGAGGTGATGGGAATGAACCCCAAATTCTGACAGGAGACACATCCCGGGCTGATGGGCCAGACCCTGCACTGTTCCAGCAGCCCCATTCCTGCCAGAACCGAGCAGTTCATGGATTGAGAGCTCAGCTCCAGACTGAGCTTTGTGTCACACCCCAATCTTCCTCCCCCAGGCCTTGCTGGATTGTCCCAGCTCTCAGTTCCATGCCTGCCTCTGCTGGAACGTCCTCACTGCGTTAGAAATGGTCTCCTGAGGCCTGGAGGTGCCACAGCTCGCTGCCCTGCAGGGTCTGTGCCCTCGGAGAGGGGCATCCAAAGCCTGGGATCATCCCTGGGGCTGGCTCAGTGCCTGCTGGGAAGGGACTGGAGTGAATGCTGGACAAAACCCTGTGATTCCTTGTCCTTAAATTATAATAATTTATACCAAGGGCAGTTCCTTCTCTGTCTTTCCTTCCTATGCACACAGCAGGGAGTCAGGGAGTTGTCACGCTTACCCACCCTCTGCAGCCACTTACTGAGGGATAATATCCCTAAATCCAGACAGAACAGGCACTTACTGATGGAGAGCATCCCAAAATTACCACAAAGTAATTCCTGACCTTGGGGCTGGCAGGAACCAAAGCTTCCTCTGCACATTCCAATGAACCCACAGAGCAAATGCTGATTTTCATGTTTTTAATTAAAAGCTTTCCATTTTTCAGCTGTTGCTGATCGTTAATGACCTCACAGTGTTCTAAGGCATCAACCTCCCCCTTCTGCCCCTTCCCCACCTTCCTGAGGAGCAAATTGGTGCTTCCAGTGAATTCCCTTTTTCCATGCAGGGATTTGGCTAAACCAGGAAACGGGGACAGGGAGAGGCTCCAGCCTGGAATCAGTGCAGAGCATCAGCCCAGAAATGCACAATCAGTCAAGCTAAATTAGCAGGAAATGAAATAATCAGGGCTCTACACTTTGTCACTTCCCCAGTTCCCAGGTCACCAACACGCTCTGAGGTCACTGAAGCCACCCAGGACTCCCTGGGATCTCTGTGCTGGCACTGGGAACAGCTGGAATTTGTCCCAGGCTCAGGGCTGGGTCCCACACACAGGAGCATCCCTGCTCCCAGGATCAATAAAATCCCAAAGGAACACACAGGGGACATCCCCAACTCCAGCATTTGATGGAAACTGAGGAATTCAGGCCATGGTACCAAAAATCCTTCCCTTTCCACGCAGGGAAATAAATCCAAACTATAAATTAATAAAAGGAAAAAAGAAAACCTTGGTCCAGTTTGTAGCACAGGAAAAAGCCCCAAACCAGACTCCAGTGGCAACAAAGAAATTCACAGTCCACACATGAAAATCCCTGAAATCAACTCCATCCCAGTGCTGGGAGCTGCCACCAAACCCTCATTTTATCCACAAGAAAAAAAAAAGGTAATGACTTCAGTGGTGTGAAATGCCTCCCCACATCTGCAAATAAAACTCTGCACCTTTCTCAGACTTAAAAAGAAATAAAACACAGCCCTGATTCTGCACAAAGTGAAGGCTGGGGAGGCCTGGGAGCCCCAGCTGCTCCCGGGCTCCTGAGGGCAAGGCAGTGTCCATGGAGTTGGCACCAAGTGTTCTCCAGTTTTTATCTTGGGAAAAGCAAAAAGCAAGGGGTGCCTGGCAGCACTTTCTCTCTTGGCTGCCCCAAATCTGTCCCACCTTGGGAAATCCCTCCTGGGGCAGACCCTGGGCTCCACCTGGACACTCCACGTGGTCCAAGGGGCTCCCCAAGGCAGCGACAAATCCCTACAGAAATCCCTGTGTGATTTACTGGAAAAACTGGGGGAAAAAGGGGGGAAAACCCACCCAACCCCTGCTGTGATGAGGAGTTTGTTAGCACGGGGCTGGAGTTGGGTGGGCACTGGTGCCACCAGTGGCCTCCCAGTTTGGGGATCCAAAGCCAGCACCACACAAACCCTGGGATTGGGATGCACTGGGGGAGCAGCACAATCCCTGAGCATTCCCGCTTTTCCCTGCCCTTCCCTGCCTCCCTTCCATGGCCACGGACAGCTGGCAGCTCCTGCACTGACCTCAAAACTGTCCCCTGCCCCATGGCCTGACCCTCTGCCAGCATCCCAGCCCCACAGCCCGGGCTCTCCAAAGGGATCTGCTCCACAGGGAATCCCAGGATCCAGAGGGGGAGCGGAGCAGAGCAGAGCAGCCTCACACAAAGCGGGTTAAAGACAAAATCCAGTGCCCAGCTGGGAGTGGATCCGAGCTGGGCACAGCCAGGAGGGAGCCCTGGGGGTGTCACTTCTTCTCCAGGAAGGGCCCGAAGAGCCCCCAGTCGAAGGCCAGCATGGCCTGGGGGTTGGGCCTCTCCTTGGGCTTCTTGAAGTTGTCCCTCTCGGAGCGCAGCGTCCTCAGCACCTCCACGGGGTCCGTCCTGCCCGTGAACCTCTGCACGGGCTCCTCCCTGCGAGGGAACAGCCCTGGCATGGACAGGGGCAGTGCCACCCTCTGCTGGGGCACACGGGGCTCTGGGGACAGAGGGGACCCCAGCCCACAGGGAGGGACAGGGGCAGTGCCACCCTCTGCTGGGGCACACGAGGCTCTGGGCTGTCCCCATGCCCAGGAACCCTCCCCTGGTTCTGGGCTGGGATTTCCCAGCAGTTCTTTGGGAAAAGGGATGGTGCTGGAGGGGAACAGGAGGGGGTTTGGGGACAGTGCCAGCAGTGCTTACGTGACCCGCAGGAAGGGGTTGTACAGGAACTCCTCGTGCAGCGTGGAGGGCACCGTGGGCAGGTCCTCATCATCGCGCTGCTGCCGAGGGAACACGGGCATCCAAACCCCGCTGCCATCCCACAGCCCCGGCCCCCGCCCTGGCACAGGGGGCACAGCCACTTACCCTGGCCCACGCCAGCTTCTCCTTCACCATTTCATTCTCTGGCTCCACCTTCAAGGCGAATTTGAGGTTTCTGACGGTGCATTCATGGCCACAGAAAACCTTCTGCAGGAGGCACCCGGCATCAAATGCGCTCCCAGATCCGAGCCCGGGATCCCTGCCCTGAGCCCGGGATCCCTGCCCCGAGCCCCCTCCTGGCTTCAGGAGCCCTCCCCAGGCTGGGAGGTGAGGGACACTCACCGTGTCCTTGGGCAGAGTCCCCAGGATTTGGGTGAGGTTGGTGTGCATCTGCTCCGCTGTCCCCTCGAAGAACTGCCCGCAGCCCCCCACGAACAGGGTGTCACCTGTGGGACAGGGGCTGGGCACAGAGGGACCCCAGGGCCGGAGATGGGGGTGCCAGGGGGTGCTGGGTTCACCCCATGAGCGCTGAGTGGGGGGGCAGGCAGCACACAGCATGTCCCCCAAAGCCACGGGGGGCACGTGGGCAGGGTGGGATACCTGAGAAAAGAGCCGGAGCATCCGGGGAATCGTCCTCCCACATGAAGTAGCACATGTGGCCCGAGGTGTGGCACGGGGTGAAGAGGCACCTCACCCTGATGGCCCCAAACTGGGGGGACAGAGGGTCAGGGCCCCACTGAGGGGGACAGACCCCCCCAGACCTCCCCACGCCCCACCTGGGGCCCTGCAGATTTGATGGGGCTTTGCGTGGGTCTGCTCCGATGGCATTTGGGACCCTCCAGCACAACCCCAAACAGCCTGGGATTGGGATGAGGTTTCTCCTGCATCCCAGCCTTGAATCTGTGGGGCCACATCTGCAACCACCCCAAGGGCACGAAGAGCTGAGAACGGCCCAGCAGCACCAACCCCACTGGGGACCACCGAGGACAGTGTCACCACCCCACTCTGCTCCTCACTGGGGACAGTGTCACCACCCCACTCTGCTCCTCACTGGGGACAGTGTCACCACCCCACTCTGCTCCTCACTGGGGACAGTGTCACCACCCCACCTCACCGAGCAGGACCCGTGTGAGGGCCCCGAGCCCCGAATGTCCCCACAGCGCTGCAGCCACACACCGAGAGCTCCTGGCCGTGGGTGACCTTGTGCGTGAGGGCCCCGATGCGCTCGTCAGCCCCGAACACCCGCAGGCCGGGGAAGAGCTGGGCCAGCTCCTCGTTGCCCCTGGCGTGGTCCCTGTGGGCAGAGCAGGGGCTGGGAATGAGCACCGTTCCTGTGGGGACACAGCCACCCCGACCCTGTCACACCTACCAGTGGTGGTGGGTGGTGAGGATGGCCCTGAGCACCACGTCCTCCTTCCTGATGATCTCCAGCAGCTGGAAGGGAGCCAGAGCAGCGGTGAGAGGTGACACACAGACACACAGAGACAGACAGACAGACACACCGTGACCTGTCCCCTGTGTCACCGGGCAGAGGAATCCCCCAAAACCACGCGCTGAGGGTGGGACAAAGGTGTGACCTGAGTGGAGCAGGAGGACGGGACCACGCTGATGCCATGGGGATGGGGATGGTGTCATTTTTGGCCGGCGCTTTCTTAGGGAAGGCACGATGAGAGCACGGGGTCACTGCCACTGCAAGGACACGGCGGCCGTGCCACCCACCCGAGGGCCACCAGGGCACTGCCAGCCCGGCTCGGCTGCCAGGAGGCTCCGGATGCCAACAGCATTCAGGAACAAACCCCGGGCTGCTCCCGGAGCCGAGAGGAAGGAAGTGCCCGAGTCCGCAGCAAACGCTGAGGGGGTGGCACAGGGACACCAGGAACAGGGACACCAGGAACAGGGACACAGGCACAGGGGACACCAGGCACAGGGACACGGGCAGATCCCGGCCGCTGCCTTCCCGGGAGAAGGGGACTGGGCACGGCACTGCCGCTCCGGGGGCTGCTCGGGGTTATCCCCGCTTGCTCCGGGGTCTGGGGGCTCGGCTGCGGTGCGGGGACACCCCACGGGCCGGAGGGGTCAGTGCTGCCCAGGGGATGCCCCATGGACACCCGGAGGGGTCAGAGCTGCCGGGGGATGCTCCACAGACACCCGGAGGGGTCAGAGCTGCCGGGGGATGCTCCAGAGCACGGACACCCCTCTGTTCCGCCACCCACCCGCGGCACCCGCTCACCCTTTTGGGGACGGCCGCGTCCACAGCCACGGCGTCGCGGGTGCTCTCCTCGATCACCAGGTACATGTAGTTGTCCTCCAGCACGGAGATCACCTTCACCTTCATGGCCCCGGGGAGGCGCGGCGGGTGCGGGCCCCGCGTCCCCCGCGGGCGGTGCCGGTGCCGGTGCCGGGGCCGGGGCCGGGGCGGTGCCGCCGTGTGCGGGGCGGGTCACGCAGCGAGGGGCGGGCAGAGCCCGCACGGCCCCGGCGCTGCGGCTCCGGGGGCTGGGGACGGTCCCTGTGCCACCCCCCGGGGCCGGAGGAAGGAGGGGTCCCCCCAGCCCAGCCCCCCAGATCAGCCCCCGGTGGCAGCGGGGTACAAGGGGAGGGATGAGGGGTGCTGGCCCTGCTGGCACTGCCGGCACTGCCGGCACTGGGTGGAGAAGGTCCAGAGTGGTGCCGGACCCTGGAACTCCTGCTGGGGGGTCTGGGAGGGTCTCTGCTCCAGGGACAGGAAGCCCCAAAGGCGCGGGAGCAGAGCTGAGCTTTCCCAGCCGGATCCCAGTCCTGGGGCCCCCACAGGGAATTGTTGAGGTTGGAAAAGTCCTCTGAGACAGTGTCCAACCATTCCCCCAAAAGCCAAAGCCACCGCTGTCCCCAAGTGCCACATCCACAGGGCTGTTAAATCCCTCCAGGGATGGGGACTCCACCCCTGCCCTGGGCAGCTGTGCCAGGCCTGGACAGTCCTTTCCATGAAGGAATTGTTCCCAATATCCAACCTGAGCCTCCCCTGGCCCAGCCTGAGGCCGTTCCCTCTCCTCCTGTCCCTGTTCCCTGGGAGCAGAGCCCGAACCCCCCGGCTGTCCCTTCCTGGCAGGGACTTGTGCAGAGCCAGAAATTCCCCCTGAGCCTCCTTTTCTCCAGGCTGAGCCCCTTTCCCAGCTCCCTCAGGAATTCTCCAGCCCTTTCCCAGCTCCCTCAGGAATTCTCCAGCCCCTTTCCCAGCCCCGTTCCCTTCTCTGGATAAGCTCCAGCCCCTCCACGTCCTTGTCCTGACAGGCCCAAATGCCACTTGTGAGGAGGGAATGGCACTCCCAGGCAGCAGAGCCAGGGCTGAACCCTCTCTATTCTTTCACAAAAATACAGCTGCCACTACAGCCCCTGTAGTCCCCAAAATGCCACCTGCTCACCCCAGGATAGGTAGAAAGACAATTCCAGTTGGTTGTCTTCAATTTCTAATCCAAAACCAATAAATAAATCTGAGTTAGAGCCTCTGTTTCCAGCTGTTATTTATTTCCCCTCTGCCCAGCCCTCAGCACAGTCACACTCCGGTGTGGCAGCACAGCGTTCCAGGAGACACCACAGCTTTAGGTACCGCTTTTCCCTCTGAACTACATAAAATTCAGCATTTTAAAGCAAATGGAGACCTGGTGCCAGCCCACATCCCTGCTCACCTGGGGACAGGTTCCAACTGCTCAGCCTGTCCCCCAGGTGTGCTGCAGGGGTGTCAGTCACTCACCAGGAGCTTCTGCATTCTGACAAATCCCTGCCCGGTTTTTTGGGCTGGCACAGGTCACACAGGGCACAGCAGGGAGCAGATTCATGCAGCAGGCTGGGGACTCAGGGCACAAGCAGAGCAATGCCTGGGGACGTCCCTGCTGCCCATGCCAGCGATGAGAGAGAAGCTGGATGGCCCCAGGAGCCACTCCCGGAGCCAGAGCAGCCCGTGGAGCTCCCAGGTGACCCTGGAGCAGCACTGGCACAGCAGCTCTGACCCTGGAACTGGTTTTAGTGGAGCCAGAAGCGATGCTCACAACGTTGAAGCAGCAGCATGGAAGGAACACTGAAATCTTCAGCTCCTGCAGGTGGTCTCTGCTTCAAGCAAAGACATCTCAGTCCCACCTTCTGCATCCACATCAGGCTCCCACAAAAATAACAGGAGCTTCCTCCTAAACCTCCAGGCTTGATCCTGCCCAGCCTCGAGTCTCACACCACCTGCACAATGATCTGTAGGTGACACCTGACAGCTTGACAGACAGCAAGTGGACCATAAATATTCTTCATCATAATATAAATAAGCTGTAGAACATCTCAACGAGGGCAAAGTGCTTTTTTTTTTTTTCTTTTCCTTAATTAAGACAAAATAAAAACCTAAATAAAACTTGTCTCAACCACGAGAGAAGATTTGACTCCTAAAACATCTGAATGGTTTAAGTGACGCTTGCAGTGACAGTAAAGTGATGCAGGCAGTGCTCAGTCCTTGGGCACTCGGAAGTTGTCCTTCTCCTTCCTGATGGCCCCCATGGCCCGCACAGGGTCGCTCTCCCCGGCGTGCTCCTGGACCGACTTCTCCCTGCCAGGAGGGAAGAGCAGGGTCAGGATGGAATCCCAGCTGTGGGAGCACCAGGATCAGGTTCCAGGATCAAAGACTGAGCTTTGGCTTTGGCACAGCTCATCAGGCCTGGTTTGAAGGCTCAGGGGCGGGAGGAAATGCCACTGCTGGGTGAAGGAACACAACAAAGCCTGTTCTGTCTCCTGAGTCAGGGAATGATGCTCAGCACAAACCTCCAATCCAGGCATTTTTCTGCCAGGACAGCCAGTGAGAGTCTTGGAGCCATCCAAACAGGAATGTGGGAGGCAGAAGAGCCATTCCCACGGGGACACCTCCTTCCCCAGCCCCTCCCAAGCCGGGCCATTCCCTACCTGACTCTCATGAAGGGGTTGTAGGTGAACTCCTCGGCGATGGTGGAGGGGATGGTGGGCTCTCCACTGTCGTACTGTGCCTGCAATGAGGGACACTGTGCTGCTCCACCAGGAATTCTGGGGAACAGGGAATGTCCTGGACACAGTTTCCAGGCAGGGAATGCCTCCCCCAGACAGTGAGCTGCCTTCTGTGGGCACAGCCAGACCCTGTTCCCCTGGAACACAACATCCTGCAGCTCCTGGCCCTTCACTCCGTTTCCCCCCAGCATTTTCTCCTCTCCTCCATCTCCTCAGCAAGGAGGACTCCTCTGTGTCCAGGAAAGCATCGAGCCCAGGGAAAGGATGAGCAGCTCACCTTGGCCCAGGCCAGCTTCTCCTGGATACTGGGGTTACTGGGCTCCACGTGCCGAGCAAACTTGAGATTGTTGATGGTGTACTCGTGGCCACAGTAAACCCGCTGGGGACAGGAAGGAACAGTGACACTGAGGGACACCACAGCCACCAAGGGGCACTGCCAGGTGCCAGCAGCACAACAGGAACAGCACACTCAACCCAACACCTCCCACTGGAGACAGCCACAAGTGCCAGGACTCGGCAGGCAGGACAAGCTGCCACTTCAACAGATGAAAGAGCCCCATGTCCCAGCTCAGCAGCCTTTAATCACCAGCCCCCGCTCTTTCCCCACAAAGCACACACACATTTGGGGCAGGCAAATCCTTCCCAGAGGACTGCAGCTATGCAGCAGCACAGAATTCGTGTAGGCACTCATTCCCTGCTCACACCAGAGTCTCTCTGAGCAGCAGCTCTGCCAGGGAGTTTCTCAGATTTGTGTGGTGCTGTGGGCTGCCTCACTCACACAAAAGAACAGGTTTGTACCGTTTTGGGGTCCAGGCTGCCCAGAATCTCGATCAGTGCCTTGTACATCTCCTCGGGGGTGCCCTCGAAGAACTTGCCACAGCCAGCCACGAACAGGGTGTCACCTGCAGGGGTGACACGGCATCAGGCCCACAGCAGGCTCCCCACAGCCAGCCCCAGGGCTCAGCCCTGCCACTGCTGCCTCAGCACAGCAGCAGGAGCACAGGGACAGCCAGGCTGTGCCACACAAACACCGCTGGCAACCGTGGCTGGGAGCTGCAGAGCCTGGCCAGGCACACCCTGCCAGCACCTCCTACCTGTGGGCAGCCCCTGTGCCCTCCTAGAGGGGACAAGGAACACCTGCTCTCTGCAACAATGATGAGTCGCCTCTATTTCCTCCCCAGTGCTCCCTAAAATCTTGTTTAAGCCTCTTTCTCTTCCATGCAGGAGCTTCTGTGAGCTCTGGAGAACACAGGGATGAAGCAGAGCCCCGGGGAAGGGGAATCCTCCTCCCCAAACCAGGATCCAGGCCCTGGCCATCAGCAGTGGAGCACCAGCCCCCTGTGACTCCCCTACTCTCTCCTCTCTCTGCTGTCAGACCTGAGCACAGATACATGGAAAAGCAGCAGGGTTTGGGATCAGCCAGTTTGGCCTGAGACAGGAAACCAACAGCTCTTTTTCCCAGGAAAAAAAAAAAATACTGGATGTAGGAGCCATCCAGGGCTCGCTCTGCAGGGTGTGCAGCCCTGGCTTACAAATCCAGAGGGGTTTCTCCAGTTCTACCTACAATTCCTGCTTGGAAAGGGGAGCAAGACATGGATGTTAAGCAGCTGCCCTGGCAGGAAGGGACGGGGGCACATCCAGAGGCACCCAGGCAGAGGGGGAGTCGCTATTTTGGCAAGGGAACCTCCCAACTCCTCACCTGTAAAAACTGCAGGTGGCTCGGAGCTATTTGGCTTAGTCACATAATAACAGATGTGTCCCGAGGTGTGACACGGCGTACTGAGGCATTTCACACTCAGAGATCCCACCTGGGAAGAAGGCAGAACACTAAAGCTGAAGCTGCTGTTTGCTGGCAATTGCACGGTTAGAAAAGAATTGCTGCTCTCAGTGCTCTAATGGTCCAAAATTTGCCCCAGTCCGGCCAGGAAGGAGCAGCTCTGCTCCTGGGAGAGCCCAGGGAGGGAGCTCTGTGGCAGGGAGCTGTTTCCTCCAAGCAGGTGTCCTGACAAAGGGAACTGCCAGATCCTTTCATTTCCACGCACAGGGACTCAAAGCCTGGTTGGCAGCAAGAGCCAACAGAGAATCCTAAACAAAGCTAACCGAGCGTGAAAAAAGCCCCAAACAAAAATGGAGCTGAAGGGGAGAAGTGGATGACACTGAGGGAAAGGCAAAAGGGTCAAACACAGCCTCATCTGCCCACCTGCCTGGGCTCCCTCCTCCGCTGCTGCCCCTCCGAGGGCCAGCAGTGCCGTTCACGCCTGCCTGCACTTTGCACAGCAGCTTGTGTCACCTGCCAGCTCTCCTGCAAACAAACAGGCTGCTCCCAGCCAGGCCTGCTGCTTCCAGCCGGGAAAAAGCCACGCAGGCAGCTGGCACTGCTTTCCTCAGCCCGTGTTCCAGCCGTCATTCCCACAGGAGCACTTGGATCCGGTTCGGTGCTCGCCACACTCCTGGCAGAGCACAATCCCGGCCCTGGCCCAGCCCTGCTGTGTCCCCCAGCTGCACAGGGACACTCAGCACGTCCCATGTGCCTCACTGCTGTCCTCACACAAGGAACCAAACAAGGCACAGAGGTCGCCAGGGCTGGGAAAGGGGGAAAGCCGCATTTAAACCATCCACCACATTCCCGGTGTGTTCAAAGGTAGCAGAGGTGCCCAGCTCAGGGGGGAGCACGCCTGTGCAGCTGTGACACAAAGAGGGGATGCCCAGAGTCCTGCAGGTCCCTCCCTTTACCTTGAGAGCTGTCAGGTGGGACACTTTCTGCGTCAGGGCCCCCACCCTGCCGTCCCCCCCGTACACGCGCAGCCCCGGCTCCATCTTCACCAGCTTCTCGTTGCCTCCAGCATGGTCCCTGGAATGGGGGGAAAAAAAAGGGATTTGAGGAGGAATGAACACAGATTTATGGTTATTGGTATTGCAGTGACCTGGAGGTGAGCTCCAGGTGATCATTTCTGATCCACCCCTCTCCCAGGATTTATCACTGCTCATATCCAAGGACAGGCCACGGCAACACGAGTGGAGATCATTTCTCCAGTAATTAGGGCAGCAAGAGGGGGAATCAATCCCTGCCCAGCTGGGAAACAGCAGCCTCAGGGGCTCCCAGTAACCTCTCCAGTTACTGGGGCAGGGAGGGAATGGGGTGAGTGGAAAATGTGCAATCCAACATCCCACAAAACACCACGGGGCAGGCACACAGATACCCCACAGTCGCCGTGCTGCTGCTTTGCCCAGCTCAGGGCTGATTGTTTCACTCTCCAGCCACAGAGACAGCTCCACTCTGACCCATGGACAGGTTACTACAGCAAAACATTCATTTTATAACCCTGGCAGAGCTGATTTGCACCTGGGGTGATCCTCCCACAATGCTGACTGCAGGACGCCTCACGGGCCTGTGCTGGCACCTCAGCACAAATGTGCTTCCTCCCACACCCACAGCCGCCTCCACACCCAGCTATTGCACTGGCTGCCTGGAAAAATCGGGATTTCACAGGTGAAGGGCACTGACACACAGCTCGTGGCCAGAGCAAGGCCAAAGGAATGAGGTGTGATCCTTCTCCTCACGCCTCAGCTGCTGCTGCTCAGAGATGAGCCGGGCCCAGGAGAGCAGCAGCTCCTGGTTCTGTGAGAGGGATCCAGGACAGGGTGGTTACCAGTGGTGGTGGGTGGTCAGGACAGTGGTCAGCTTCACGCCGTGCTTTTTGACTGCATCCAAAACCTGCAGGGTGGGACACAGAAGGAGTTTCACCTCCCAGGGAAGGAGCTGGCAGCACCCTGGAGTCACCTGGGCACACCTGGAGCCCCAGAGCAGCTCTGCAGGTGGGGTCAGGGGGCAGCACACAAGGTCTCTGTCCTGCCAGCCGTGACCAAGCCCCAAGTCCTGCTTCCTCTTTTCTGCCCTACATCAGGTTAAGGGCAAAATCCCAAACCAGGTCAGTAATCCCTGGAATGAGTGAGGGACACAGAAATCCTTGGGGTGAGGGACATGGGAACCCCTGGAATGAGGGACACAGAAATCCTTGGGGTGAGGGACATGGGAACCCCCGGAATGAGGGACACAGCAATCCATGGGGTGAGGGACACAGCAAACCCTGGACTGGGGGACACAGGAACCCCTGGATTGGGGGACACAGCAGTCCCTGGAATGAGGGGCACAGCAATCCCTGGAATGAGTGACACAGCAATCCCTGGAATGAGGGACACAGCAATCCCTGGACTGGGGGACACAGCTGTCCCTGGGGTGAGGGACACAGCAATCCCTGGACTGGGGGACACAGCTGTCCCTGGGGTGAGGGACACAGCAATCCCTGGATTGGGGGACACAGCTGTCCCTGGAATGAGTGACACAGTAACCCCTGGAATGAGGGACACAGCAATCCCTGGAATGAGGGGCACAGCAGTCCCTGGGGTGAGAGACACAGCAACCCCTGGAATGAGGGGCACAGCAACCCCTGGAATGAGGGACACAGCAGTCCCTGGGGTGAGAGACACAGCAACCCCTGGAATGAGGGGCACGGCAGTCCCTGGGGTGTCCCTGTGCACAGCCAGCCTCTCCTGCCTCTCCCCCACAGCAGAGGCAGCGTGTGCCTCGCTCCCTGCTGGACACAGCAAGCTGGAAGGACATCCCAGAGCCGAGTGTTACCTTCTGGGGCTGCACAGGGTCAACTATGGCAGCCTCCCTGGTGTCCTGGTCGATGAGGAGGTACATGTAGTTGTCAGTGAGGGCTGGCAGGATTTCCACCTTCATGTCGGCCTGGGTCACTGTCTTGGGCTCCCTCAGCTCGTGATCCGTGTGCAGGAATTTAGCTTGCAGCTGTGCTGGACCTGGGCACCCAAAAACAGCCAAAGCTCAGCCCTGGGAGGGGGACAGGTGGGACAGGGCATGGCAAGTGCCCCAGCTCACAGGACAGCCCAACCTGCCTCCTTCAGACAAGAGGAGCGAGGTCACCATGGGACAAAACCTTGTGCCCCTCAAGGTGCTCCACAGATGCCCCGGGAAGGACAGGACACTTTGCATTCCAGGCAGGGAAAACTCTGTACTTGGGTCAGAGAGGAGATTTCAAGGGGCAGGAAAGCAGAATGGAGCTGGCCAAAGGTCAGCCCGGGACAGTGACTTTGCAAAAAAGGCACAAAGGGCACGTTAGAACCAAGAAAGAAAAAGGAAGGAGGAGCAAAAAAAAATTAAAAAGAAAAAAAAAGGAGAAATACACAAATACACACACTGCTCTGACAGAAATATCTGTTTTATTCCTGGGGGAAATGTCATCTGCCCAGCTCATGGAGAGAAGCCAGGCTCTCCAAAGGAGGAAGGCTCCTGACCTGGCCAGGTAAGAGGCACACACAGAGCTCTTGCTCATGCCTGCCCTGATGCAACACCAGCGCTTCCTTGTTTGCTTTTGGTTCAATGTTTAATCAGATCCAAGAAGCAAATTCCAGATGCAAATAACCTGGGCTCCACTGCTCCGTGCACAGGCACACAGCTCTTAAAGAAATAACCAACCCTAAGAGGTTTTACCACACAAACTAAAGGAAGGGAAGCAAAGAGAGTGGGGTCTTGCATGGCTGGGGCCCTGCAGGTCAGAGCTGAGCTCAAACACCTGCAGGGAAAGGGGTGCCAGTCCCTGCAGGTCAGGAATTGCTGTCTGAGCACCCACGAGGTGTCTGCACAACCCCCAGAGGTGCCTGTGCTGGCTCAGACCCATTTTATTCTGCACCACTGACTCTCCCAAAGGCTCCTGACTTTCCAGCTTGGCCACCTCCCTCCGTGCCCCCGTGCTGATCTCCCTGTCCCACTGTCCCCAGCCACCCCAGCCTGCCCAGCCCTGATAAAAGCCTCACAGTCCTGCAGATCTGCTCCTGCTGCCAGCCCAGCCTGGGCACGGGGAGCTGTCAGGGCCTTCTGGCACAACCATCCTGCCCAGAGCTTCTTCCCCTTCCTGTTCTATCTCCACCCTCCCTGCTTATGAGGGAAGGGAAACAGGGAAATTAAACACAGTGCTCAAAAAAACACCCCAAAAACTCAAGGCACAGCAGAACAGGCATGCACTGGGTATTTGCAGTACTGGGAGAAGCATCCCTACCTGCAGAGCGTTCCTCTGGAGAAGGCTCCTTTCAAAAAAAGAACACAAAATAAGTCCTTACTATTCTTTGATGGGGGAAAAAATGCCCAAAAAAAACCTGCTTGCCAACAGGGAGAGCTTTTGGATGCTGTCAGTCACAAGAGTTATCTATGCTGGGTGTTTGTTTGCAGGCCAGACACCAACTAGGAAAAAACATACAACCAAACAAAAGAAAACAACACAACCTTAACTTCAACTCAAAGGAATTATTCACATGCTTCAAATGCTTCTCTCCTATGAACCATCTCTAACCTTGGCCCGGATCCCGCAGTCTCTTTTGCGTGTGTAATTCACAATTCTTACCAAACAAACAAACAAGCTGCACCACATAAGGAAATGTTTTCAAACATGTAATTTCAACAGAGGAACGAGGAAACATCCACCAAGAATGAAACTCACGCGTTGTGAGCTGCCATGTGCGGCTCAGCCGCACCTCAGGAGCAGAGCAGGGAGTTTCTCACGCACTGCTCAGACCTGTCCAGCCCAAAGGAGCTCCCTGGGTGACGCTCAGCCCCTGCCCCGGCCCAGCACTAACTCAGATCGCTGCCACACACACACAGCTCTGCCCCAGAATTAATGCCCAGTGACTTCATTCTCGCTCAGCTTCGTCCCACGTCCCTCCTGACTGCACGCCTGGAGCAGAGGAGTGGGAGAGCAGCTCTGAATCACCCACCCGAGCTTCTGGAATGGTTCATGAGCACAGCTGGAGCGGCCAAGGGGAAAGGCTTTGCAGCTGGAAGTGTGGATGTCAGCACAGAAATGCGTCCGTGCTGGGGACTGACAGCAGGCAGGTTCCCCTAGAACAGGGCTGCTTTGTGCATTTCCTCCAGAACGTTTGGGGTTACTCTCTTTATTACATAAAGGAGTGGAAAATTCCCCTTTCACGCAGGGCTGTCACTCAGAAATGACAGCACGCCCAGCCGCTGCGCTCACAAGAACCACGCTCACTCTTTGCTCTGCACGCAGGGATGTTTTTGGATACCCAGCGAGTTTGTGGCTCCAAGAAATGCATCCAAAGCCAGGGCAGCTCCCACCCCCGGCAGCGTGGAAGGTGCAGAGCCTGCCCTGCGATGCCGGGAGCTCGGGAGCTGCTCGGTCTGACATTCCCACACCGCAGCCGCAGCGGCGTGTCCGGCTCTGGCAGAGAACGCCCAGCGATTCTCGCTCTTTACAGACACGTCCTAAAACCCGAGTGATGCAAAACCATCCGGGGAGACCTCCCAGAGAGCCCAGAATAGGTTCTGAGGATTTAGGCCCGAAATGAAACCGCCGAGCTCAGACAGCCGGGGGTGGCTGCCATCACCAGCGCAAGCTGTCACCCGCCGAGCGCAGCCCGGCCGCCCGCCCCGGCCCCCAATCCTCCTCCCCGAGCACTGACCGGAGCCCCGGGGCTCCGCGGGGCCTCCCCGATGGGCTCAGCACGGCCCCGGCCGCAGCCGAGCACGTCCTGCCCCGCTCGGGCCCCAAAGCCCGGCCGGAGCCACCAGGGCAGCCCGAGAGCCCCAGCGCGGCACCCGGGGCTCCGCACGGGCCCGGCCCGCGGCCCTGCCGGGGCGCACCCGCCGCACGTACCGGCTCCG